TAGGGATTTTGAACATTTCTTCATGTGCTTGTTGGCCATCTGAATGTCTTCTTTGGTGAAGTGTCTGTTCATATCCTGTGCCCATTTTTCTACTGTATTATTTACCTTTATCTTGTTGTGGTGCTCAAGTATTTTATAAATTCTAGATATAAGTCCTTTATCTGACATGTCATTACCAAACACTTTTTTCCCAGTCTGTGGCTTTCCTTTTTACCTTGTTGGAGAGGTTTTTGGATGTGCATAGGGATTTGATTCTTAGAAGGTCCCAGTCATCTATTTTATCTTCTCCTGCTTGTAAATTTTTCAGGATACTTGGAAGACTCTTTATGGTGTGGATCAGGACATCCAGATTTCTTCCAAGCTTTTCTTTAATGAAGTTTATAGTCCTTGGTTTTAGTCCTTGGTCCACGATCCACCTTGAGTTGGTTTATGTATATTGGAGTTGAGGTGTGGATCTTGCTTAATTCTGCTGCAGATAGATTTCCAATTTTGAGAGGCTGTAAATTTTAAGAGAGGAGATTGACACATAACAATATTTACTGCTTCCTCTTGAACTGCTGGTACTCTCCTTGTCTGCAAGTCTTTTGCAGTCTGGGAAAACTCTGAAATCAGCTCACTTATTCTCCAATCAAAGAACTTCACGGTGCTCTGACAGGAAAAGTCACTTGCTGAGCATTTTGATTTGGTCTCATTTTATATTCACTTCTTTCCCATCCACACTTAGGTAGCATCATTCTAAAGCACAGAGACCCTTTCCCGTAAGTGGCTCATGCAATGCTGTTCTCACAGAGTGTTCCTGATCAAGTGCTCTCAGGAAGCAAGGCTCGCAGGCCCCAAATCAAGGTTTCTGCTTCCAAAGGGTCCTTAACCCAGAGCAGAGAATAGTTTGCAAAGTCCTTGAGGAGAGAAGAACTGTAGCTGAAAGCACAGAAGGCTACTTTTTGATGGGAATGGAAAAATGACCAGTGAAGAGAGCAGGACGTCTTGGGTGAAGAGGAGGTGCAGGAAGTGGGGAGTCTCAGTAACTTATCCGGACATGAATGGAAGACGAGAAGGCTGTGGGCACTGGGCCATTTCTTGTGGCTCATATTTTTAGCTGATGTTGGTGATCTAGGAGTTTAACCACCAGGATGGGGTAGTGGCTAACAGGAATGGTGTAAATGTATATGTACTTCCCATGTACCAGACATTCCATGTTGTTACACACCGATTTGTGCCTCCCAACAGGGTCCAATCAAGCCATTTACGATATGAACTTACTGAGCATAGTGTTTTGTAGACATAATCACTGTTGTTATAGGCTATGGAGTCAGAGCTAACGCACGGCTGACCCTCCCCCCCAGTGGGTTTTCAGAGGCTGTAAATTACACGAGAGGAGACTGCTCATCTTCCTCCCATGGAGTAGCTGGTGGATTTGAACCAGGTGTATCTGGGTTGGCAGCATGGTTCCTTAACGCTAGACCAGAGTTCCCTCTTATTAGTTAAGCTGTCATGGAGTGGTATTCAGGTAGGCAGAGCCCTAGTCCAATGACAGGCGTGCTTACAGGAAGCAAAGATACACAGAGCACAGGGAAGGTGGTCATGTGATCAGGGAGGCTGAGACTGGCATAAAGCCATGGACCAGTCAGGCAACGTGGCCACCAACCAGGTGTTAGAGAGGTGAGGAGAGATCCGAGCCAGGTACGAGAAGACCCGTGGTCCTACCGACACCCTGAACTTGGATTTCTACAATGTATAAATACATTTCCTACGATTCCTGTTATTATTTCTTCCCTGGTGGTGCAGAAGTTAAGTACTCTACTACGAACCAAAAGGAAGCCTGAACCCACAAGGACTCTGGTACTATAAATATTACTACCTAGAATGCCACATGGCTACTCCGTGCTGCCTGGTTGCTGTGAATCACAGCTGACTGGATAGTACCCAATGGATCTGGGTTTGTTTTATTTGATATGAGTTTGCAGGCTCGGGAAAGGTTCTGATCTCTTGTGCATGGGGCTGCTAGGAGTCGTAGTTGACGCGACAGCACTGTAACAAAAACAACCACCACAATTTGTTAAAATACGGGATCCATTCTCCTGTTAGTATGTTGCTGATGGCCTTCAAGTTGAGCACCACTCATAGCAACCCTATGTACAAAAGGCCTGAAGATCCCTCCACAACTATTGACATGTATCAAAGCTCATAGAGTTTCTGGAGGCATGTTATTTAGGAAGCAGATGCCACCCCTGCTTCCAAACCTGTCCTAGTATTAGTATAGCTGAGCTCATTTTTGACTCTGACAGGCAACAGAATTTTCTAGGCTGTAATGTTTGTGGGAGCTGATTGCCAGGCCTTTTCCCCTGTAAAGTCACACTAGGAGCCAAACTCCATAGTGAGTGGGGCTCAGCAGCTGTATCACAGGGGCTCCCTACTGCCCTCACTTCTCCCTGGAAACAGTTTGCAGGTAAGCAGCCCTGGTGGTTAAGTGTTGGGCTATTGGCCAAAAGGCTGAGACTTTAAACACACCAGCTACATGCCAGGACAAAGACGTTCAATCTGTTCCTGGTAAGATGTCCAAATCTGATGGAAGGTCCTCCTTAAATGGAATCAGCTGGGTGGGTGCAGGTGGAGGCTTTAGGATATGGAATTGCACTGCTAACACAAAGGTGTTGTTGTTGTTGTTGTTATGTGCCATCTAGTCATTTGCGACTCAAAGCGACCCTATGTCCAAGAGCCCTAAGTGCCATGTCTGTTAGTCCAAATGATAATCTAAGTGTGCTCTATCGTACATAGGGTTTTCGAAGGCCTGTAATTTCAGAAGTGGATGGCCAATCCTTCTTCCTAGTCTGTCTCAATTTTTAAATATATATAATAGTATCTGACAGACAAGCATTCATGGTTCAAATCCACAAGTTGCTCCATACAAGAAAGATGGTCAATCACCTCCCATGTGATTTACTGCCTCTAAAAACTAGCTGGAGGGTCAGTTGACTCGATGGCACATGACAACAAAGTTACCTAGAAGCCCTGGTCACACAATAGTTAAGTGCCCAAGTGCTAATCCAAAGGTTGGCAGTTTGAGCCCACCCAGCTGCTTCAGAGGAGAAAGACCCAGTGTTCCGCTTCCAGAAAGATTACAGAGCAGACAAAACATTCTATAGGATCAGGTCGGCTCTGTCACATGGGTTACTAGGAGTCTAAACCAGTTAGTTGGCATTTGACAGTAACAACAGCTGATGTCTGGAACTTAAATGACACCAACATTTTCAAATGGGCAAGTCATTTGATAATACACATGGAAAAGTCTTCAAGAATGTGACTTAGATATTTTATCAAGACTATTCTTCATTGGGTGGGCAGGGAAGAAATGGGAAGCACCCCAGCTTCTTATTACCAAATAATTTCTACCCTGTCACAGATGGAACCAAGGCTCCAGACAAAATTCCATGCTGGTGGAAATTAACTGCCATTTACTGGACTTCCTTTGTTCTTTTGCCAAATGTTTATTAAAAGAAACTCTACTGATGTCAACATGATAAACTCCAGGGACATTCACTGTTGCCTCTGTCCAATGACTATCAGAACCAAATGCTTTGCTAAGCCTTTCGCATCTTTAAATAGTTCTGGTGGTGCACTGGTTACGTCCTTAGCTGCTAACCAAAAGTCTGCAAGTTTGAGCCCCTCAGTGGCTCTGTGGGAGAAAGGTGTGGCAGTCGGCTTCCAGAAAGATCCCCGCTTGTGGGGAATTCCTACTGAATGCTGTACGCTTTCTAGGGTGGGAATTGACACTCCAGCAATAGGTTTGTTTTGCTTGTTTTTAGCATCTTCACCTTCACCTTAGGACCTGC